CAGACTTAGGTTGAACATCAGAAATAACTTCTTCATGGTTTGGGTTGCCAGAATCTGGAATGGACTTCCAAGGTAGGTGGTGCTCTCCCCTACCTTGGAGGTCTTCAAGAAGAGACTGGACAAGCACCTGGCTGGGGTCTCACAACCCCAGCACTTTTTCCTGCCACGGGCAGGGGGTTGGACTCAATGATCCATTGAGGTCCCTTCCAACCCTAGCATCTATGAATCTCCATAATCACTATCATTTTATTACCATCAGTGGACATGCTACAAACTATGGCACAGAGAGACTAAACATCTTGAGCAAGGTCACACAGGAACACTGTGGAAACTGAACTTAGTTCTTCAGTGTCTTAGCTACAAGACCTGTATCCTGGGAATAATATTTAGTAACCTGTCAGGTGTCATATTAATAAGGGACTTTCCTTCAAGTGGCTTTTAGAAACATCACTGTAGCCCAGGAGACGCTAACTCTCTTCAGTGTCCTCCCTAAAGTAGGGCCTTTGCAAAGGAGTGCCTACAGGTAGGTTACTGCAGCATAGATTTCCTGGGATTGAATTAACATATATTTTCTTCTCCACACATAGAAGAAGTTTGATGTTGTTTATAGATGTGCATACGTACTTGTTAACATGAATTTGCCAGTAGCTTTTCTCAGTGACTGGGACCCAATGAATTGAACCTTTGTAGAGGGAATGATCTATTCCCCCTAAGATCAATTCTCCACCATTTTCAATGTCATCTCCTCTAAACAAAAAACAAAACAGATAGATAAATACATAGGCAAATCAAACTACATGAAATGTAAAGAGGAATCAACTTTCAATTCCAACCCTTTCACATCTTGTTTTTTTTTAAATGAATAAGTTACAGTGAAAGCTTAAGACTTCTAATTTTAAGTTATACTTAAATTAAATTATTTTTAAATTATATTATTTGCTGTCTCCAATAAGAAGCTCCCATCCTAAATCCCTTACCAAGCTCTCCCCCCCCCCCCCAAAAACCCAAACAAAAAACCCAAAAAACAAAACTATATTCAGGTCATTGAGAGTTGCGGGGGTAAGATACAAGCAGTGGCTCTGGCCAGTTTCTGGTCTCACTCTCAATATGAATGCAGAGTGAAGCTGTTGATTGAAATGGAATCACTCTGGGTTTGAGTTAGGAAACTAAGATTAGAAGAGGATTCCTTTTCCTATGAAATACTGTGCTTAGTTAAAACACAGTAGTGATCTTTACCTCTACTTGCTAGGGAAACAATCTTTCCTGCATTAGTAAGTGCATCATGAGCAGGTCTAGGGAAATGATAATTCTCCTCTATGCGGCATTGGTGAGCCCACAGCCGGAGTACTGCATCCAGTTTTGGGCACCGTACTTCAAGAGGGATGTGGATAACCTGGAAAGGGTTCAGAGGAGGGCAACTCGTATGGTTAAGGGTCTGCAGGTAAGATCCTATGAAAACTAACTGAGGGACCTGAATCTCTTCAGTCTCCACAAGAGAAGGCTGAGAGGTGATCTTAAGGCTGTCTCAAACTCATCAGGTGGGTCAGCAGGGAATAGGGAATACTTTGTTTGTTTACCAGGGTGCCCCTTGGGGTTACTAGAAACAATGGCCATAAACTGAAGGAGAGTTTAAATTGGACATCAGGAAGAAGTTCTTTACAGTGAGGGTTGCCAAAATATGGAATGGGCTTCCAAGGGAGGTGGTGCTTTCCCCTACATTGGAGGTGTTCAAAAGGAGATTAGACAAGCACCTGGCTGGGGTTACTTAACCTCAGCGCTCTTTCCTGCCCATAGCAAGGGGTTGGACTCGATGATCTAATAGGTCCCTTCTGACCCTAGAAATCTATGAATCTATGAATTCTTTGCTCAAAATATGGAAAAAGTTGGATGCAACTGTTCTTACGGCAGCTTCTCAGCAACTGATAAATATGTTTTGTAAACAAAATTCAACAATTTTCTGGTCTGATAAAACATGAGGTCTTTGCTTTCCCCTTTTTCACTCCTTCCTTTCACCCTACTTTTTTCTGTGAAAAGTGGAAAAGGGAAGAAGAGAAGGAAAAACTAAATGAAAAAACAGATTAAGTGATTAAACTGAAAAATATTCAAACAAATAAGGTGGGAGAGGTTGCTTTTCATCAAAAAGTTCAAAAAATATGACCATGTTTTCACTTTAAGAAAGGTTTCAAATGAAAATTCTTCAGATTAGTACATCAATAGAACAGGGAGCTTTCACTTGTTTGCATTGGTTGTGTATTATGCAGTGAAGATAATCTGAGTTACAAGAAGTATTATATTAAAAAAACAAATTTAATAGCATTTCTTGGGACATTTCTGGGGACATTCTGTTATGCTTCCCCACTAGTGTCTCTATCTAAATAACTTTCTGATGATGTTTTCTTTTTACAAGCTGAAGAACTATACAAATGGACAGTTTTCTCAATTTACAGTAAATAAAAATCTGCTTCTTTTGACACCATCAATTTACTCAGTGTTAAAAACTAACCTGTTCAAGTGGAAAGAAAACACCGGCTCCTCTACTAAGCGTTGGTTCATCATACTGTCAAACACCGGAAGAGCGTTGCCGACCGCCAAAGATGGATATCCTAAACCCATCACTCCATCAAAGTGTGCAAGGGCAAAGGTCATGCCTGGTTCAAAGACAGACTGTCCAAAATCCTGTGCCTCTATAGAAATATTGCTAATCTGGCCATTATTACAAAAAGAAAAGAAAAGAAAAGAAAAGAAAATTAGAGTAATAAATGATAGATAACAGGAAATAGCCATGCTAGTTGCATGTTAGGTGATTAAGTGCATTAGCTCTATTAAATGTAATGTATGGAGTGTAAAGGTACTTGTGTTAGTAAAGCCCCTGTCACATCTTACATATATTATGCAGTTCACTGGTTAATCATACAATAAGTTTATACCAGCCACATGTGCAAATTAGTTATCACGCCGTAAAAGATGTCCATCCAGCTATAAGAGCCAACTACCTACAGAGTTAGTGCTTGAAAATATGTATAACTTTATAGCTGGTTTCTACCAAGCTTTCATCTGAACATGTGGCAGGGCCCTTACAATAGTGCAGCATGCATCACACCAGTGAGGATATGGCTGGAAAAAAATCTCTTTAAAGGCTGCCAGTTATTCACAAGCTAATGACAAAAAAACATGAGTAAAGGGCAGAAGAGGCAGATATTATTCTCATCACTTCTCAGACCTTCAGCAGGAGGGGAAATGACATCATGTTGAAACAAATTGCAAGTCCAAGACTAACCCAGTACCTGTATCTATGTTTATTTTGCCTTGCAACAGGAATTAGTGCTCCTTTTGCTTTCAGGCAGATGTCGAACACTGAACAATGATATGCCCTGTTCTAACTTCACAGTTTGAACAGGGAACTCCAAATAATTGGCCCAATAGGATTTCTGATCCAAATTTGGATCTTTTGACCTAAACATTCTGGTGAAATAGCGCCATAACACCACAAGCATTTTACAAAATTACTCCATTCTTCTAGTATATGTACATGTACTTGAAGCTCAGGCTATCACTCTGATCATTCCCAAACTGATTGCAGTCACTCAGGATTTATCATAGCTAGTGTATCCCACCCTGTGCCCCTTTGTGAGAGAGGTTATATTGCATGGGCTCCAGTTCTGCCCTCCAAGCTCCTCCACATACCCATCTCTACCTTGTCTTCTAAAAATGTCCTGCTTATTTCATGCTAGACCCTATACTGTTCCCAGATCCACTTTCTAGCCCCTTCTCCTGCAGTCCCAATGTGAATCCTTACATTTCTGTCGGGAGGTGGGCTGAAAAAAAAGAGAAATAGACTGTGCTGGAGAAACAAGATGAAAAGACAATTCAGGGACAGTGAAGGGGTTAATATGCAACCTATGGACTTGACTAGGGTACTCACTTCCAAGAAGTCAGATGCAGTGGAGAAGGAGCAGTAGGTTTTTTGAGGGGGGTTGGTGTTTGGTTTTTTTTTTTTAGGGGGGAGAGGTTGTTTGTTTTTTACACAGACACTGAGAAATCATTCATAAAGCCAATGAAATTAAATGCTTAAAAAAAACCAACAACCGAAAAACAGAATTATGTTGCCTGGTGAGCAGCATCCAGACAAGCGCGCACATGCAGTGTGCAGAGCTGCTCTCATGCTGGGAGATCCTAGTGTCAAAAACTTCTCCAGAAAAAAGTGAGGCAGTGCACATGGTGGCAGCATGCATTGCCCAAAACCAGTGTGTGGCCAGCCAGCCAGGCTCCATGTTCCTGGATCACCACCACTGCAACCCTGAGAGGCCCCCAATACCCCGGGTAAGGCTCCCAGCCTCCCCTACCTCACCTGGAGAATTTTTCCCCCGTACTAACCCCACATGCAGGGACGTGCACTGGAGCAAAAAGCAGCAACGTGAATTTGTGCTGCTGTTTTTTTTCCCCACAGCAACTGCATGCCCCTGCTTGTAGGAATGCAGCCATGGCGTCTCATGCCCTTCCAGATCATAAAGTTTAGCTGCATTAAAACTTCTGATAAGCAGGCAAGACAGAATCTTAAGTCTGTCTTAATTAAGCTTTGGCCCATTTACTTTATACTACATTAAACATGTCTTTTCTAGGCCTCTTTGCTATGAACTTAAAATACAACCAGATAAAAAGACTGAAACAACAGCTATTCCTTATGTTGGATCCAGAGATGAAATCAAAGCCCCAGCAACACCGTTCTTTGTCACAAACACCACATCACAAAAATCTGAGTACACTGCTGGACCTTGCAGTAAGCCCTCAAGGTCAGATTCATGCTATTTTGAACTAAAGAATGAGAAATTTCTGCAGCTAAGGGCTTCTCACAGACAACACTGTGCTGACAGCTTTTTTCCTCTCCTGCTTCCACCCTGAAGGGCTCCAGCTCAACCCTCTCCACTGATAGCAGCTGCGTCAGCATAACAGGAGTAACATGTAAGGCAGGCCCCAAATTAGGTCAATATCAACATCTTGCCCATCTGGAAAGTAATAAACACCCAGTCTACAGAGTGGTTGTGATGACTTAGTGGTTTCACTCACTTGTACTGTGTCTCTGCCAGCAATGCCTAGAAGTTGCCCAGTACCATACTGTAGAGAAAAGGCTTGACCTCCATGCTGATAGGAGTGTGACAGAAAGGAGTTGAATCTTTCGTGAACCCCTGAGAAAACAAAATGCATGTTTAAGCCCAAAGATGAGGAATGCACCAGCCTTCTCAAATACATTCAAGCAAACAAAATAATACAGTAAGGGATGGATGCCTGCCATAACACTGCAATGCTCACTTTGTTCCCCAAACACTTATTGATTAATTTCCTTTCTGCATTAAAAATATATATTATCCTGCTATTTCCACAGATGTTTTCACTTTCTCAAGTTTACTTTTGTTCCTTTTGCCTTGCATTTTTTACAGTGTCAGAATGCCAATTAGCAGCTGGGACTGGCAGCAGCAGAGGTTGCATATTATGGCAAACATGAGGGATGGATAAAACAGAAATAAAATAGTAACCCAATACTAGTCTATATGAAAGAGCCAATGTTCTAATCTAGATTTCAAACACCACCAGGTCAAAGGGTCTTCCAAGGCCTTCCAGACAGCTTTCAAAGGCAGCTTCCAGACTCCTACTCTCTGTTTCTTTGAGGAGGAAAGTAGAAAGACAGCCTGCTCTGACCATAAATCCTTGGGAATACCAGGTTTTTTCTCAAGCCCTATGAATTCTGAGACATCTTTCACCTCTCCTAGACAAAAGATCAGCATAACAGCAACTGCTGTGAGGAAGGAGTCTTTCCATTTCCACTGCTATAGAAAAGAGGGAAGATGGCCAAAAAGGGATGCTGAGAGTTATGGATCTCATGCTCGTAGGTACTAGGGCCCTAAGTCTCAACAGTGTAGTGAATAAGGAGAGTACCTACATTCCTACATTACAGGATAAATGTGAGACCCTGGTTCCCTAAAGATATCAGGAAGAGAAAGAGTTGTAGTTGTTTTCACAGAGTACCCAGTACCACTGGGGTGGTAGGAGCAGCCAGCTATTCAGATTAGATTGGTAGTCATAATCAAGGTTAGGAATAGCATCCAAATGATACCACTCACATATCAGATGTTCTCCCCAGTAGGCACATTTGTAACCTTTCTATCCCAGTACTCCACTCTGATTTTATCTGTGTGTTGCACTGGCTAAGTACAGACAGTCAAAAAACCTGAGGTTGAATCCATTCAATTTTGCAAGTTAGTCTAATCTGCATAGATTGAACCGATAAACAAGTGAACAGACATTCACTTTTGATTCCAGAAATGCAGCCACATGTCTCCAGTAGCCCAGGCCAGAAGTCAGGGGGGGTGCTAGAGCATGACTCCCAGCTTAGCTGGAGCAGATAGCTTGGGCCAAGTCTAGCCCATCCACCCTATGAAGGGGGATTTGTGAAAATATAAAGCATCCTGGGATGCTGGGGGACTGTAAGTTAACTGGAATCTGGATGGGATCTGGGATAGACGTTCAATAAACCAATTTAACCTGAATCAGTTAAGGTGCAGACAGAAATTATATTTGCCACACGATCAGCTCCTTGAAATCACTCTAAAGTTGTGATTTTATGAGGGGTCAAATGAAGCCACTCCTAAGCAAAGTGACTTAATTAATTTTTGTCTGATCCAGCTGCAAAAGCAGCCTGGCTCAGCTGCTCTCTCTGGATTGGTTGGGGAGAAGGCAGGGGAAAGAGGTCCCTTCTGAGGTTCTCAGTCCTGCTGGAGTTGGGGTACAGGTGGATTGGAGCCTCTCACTTTGGTGGGGGCTCCAATCTACCCCACCCCCCACTCCATCAGGGCTGAGAAAACCCCAGAAGACTTCCCTCCCCTGCCTTCTCCCCCACCATCCAAGGACAGAAACGAAACTCTGAGAATGGGGGCAGAGCCAGGGGAAGAGACACAGGAAAGCAGGGCAAGATGCATCCTCCCTCCCTAGATCAGTTCCCATCCTCCACCCTCCCAATCCAACAGCTAACATACATTGGACTGAGAGGATCAGTATAACTCATGGCAATTTATATTAATTGCCATGAGTTAGACCCAGAAACTTCACTTCTGTATGTGCCCTTAAGTCTGATACTACATCCATCCAGGTTTATCTTAAAATGGTTTTGGCCATTTTGAAAGTGGTTTATGTGCACTGAAGTTCTGTTGTGTTACAGATTTGAACTGGTTTCTGATCACTTATACCAGTTTATGTAATTTCTGTCCCAAGCCATTAAGTCTTAAATGTTCCCAAGAGCACTACGTCTAAATGTTGTTTCTGAGACTTTTCAAGCACAAAGGTGGTAGTCCAGGGTATACTGGGTATACAGTGCATCTCAACAGATGACTCTTTTGAGATACATTCCATTAACCATACTTCCTATAGACTCCTTTTTCAGACACACCTAACCAGTAAAATGGAAACAGATTTATCTTGTTATGTTACATTCGGTCCTGTTCTGTAGAATTAGCAATGTCAAATTCTAGAGTTTGCAATACTGGAAATATTATGTATAGTAATGGAGAATATCAGTTCCTTCACCATTGTTCAATAATAAATAAAATTGGAACTGAATATCTCAGAATAATAGTTCTATAATAGGGCTTTGAAGTACAGCTATTGTGTGAAACTGATGTTTTTTCATGAAATGTGTTTGCTTTTCAGTTGAACATATTATTCAGCAAAAAATGTTTTCAGTTCAGGGGAGCTACTTTAAACAGGAAGAATGGTCTCTTTACCATTAAAAGAGTTAAAAGCTTAAAGGGATATAACATTTCTTACTGCAGGCTTCACTGATGCAGTAGGCTGAAGGGACCCAAAAATTGGACGATCCAGTGTCGAATACCACTGTGAATTTCTGAGGAGGGGTCCCAACTTTTACCACCCCATAGTACTGGGCCTAAAGAAAAAATATGCAAGCAGTTTAGACCTAGTTCAATACAGATTATTCCTAAAAAGGACTGAATTTACAACTTGACTTTAAATTAAATATGACCTCTGCCAGGCAACCCATTCCTTCTTTGTCCCATGAATATTCAATTAAGTCAAAGCTTACTGTAGTGTCATCTAGGATGTTGCATAACTTTAAAGGCTTCCTAGCAAGATCTTAAACCTGTTATTACTTGAAGCCAGTAGGAGTTTTTCCAATGACTTCAAGTGAAGCAAGTACAGATGCAAAGTGACTGGAAGTTTCATCGTCATAAGAACAGTAACATTTAGCCATGTTGATTTCACATATATCTGAACAGTAATTGACAAGCAGTGCAAATATGATAATATTAAGACATAGTACTATAGACTTTATTGGGATGCATTCCAGTCAGTAATAATTAGTAAGTTAACACAAGCTGATCAACTCCAGTCTCTTTTTCTCAGCCTCTATCTGATGCACTGCACAAAACTTATCAAGTCGATAAAGAAGCCTTGGACGGCTCTTGGGTATAAAATGCAGATAGAGATAATCTGTGAATACGTGAACTCTGAAGTAAAGAGTTTATCAACTTTCAAGCTCTAAGTGCTTGGTGCCCATATCTGCCCATGGAGTAGCACTTCAGCTTTGGAGACCTATTTTTAGAAAAAGGCATTTCTGGAATCCAGATTACAAGTAGAAAAAGCAGTAGTCAGTAGCAAAATATTTTGTAATGATGCAAATATTTTGATATTTATTATTAGTATATTGACATTAATATATTCAATACAGAATAAAACATGGTCTGTACTCCCAGTCAGAGAATGTAAAACCACAAACATGAGTTAAACATAACAGAACATGCAGATGAGCACATGCCACAACCAAGTCACTGACTGATTTTCTATGTTGCCTTTCCTCCCATTTTTAATCACTTCACTGTATTAACTTTAAAGTGAGAATACAAGCTCTGAAAGGTAGGGCTTTATCCTTTTTTATCAGTTTCTGTGCAACAACTTACCTGGTAATTAACAACAACAATACAATTAGATGGGAAAGCCTGCAACAACTTAACACTGAATTAACCAGTATGTTATATATGTAAAGTGTATTATTGTCTTTGTCTTGCAGAGTTTAAATCCTTTGGGTCTTGATCCAGGACTCCCGCTAAATTAAAAAAAGAAAAAGTAATAACACTGCATCATAACACCTATACAGCAATAGCACTGCATCATTTACCCAGAGAGGTGGTGGAAGCTCCATCCTTAGAGGTTTTTAAAATCCGGCTAGACAAAGCTTTGACTGGGATGATCTAATTGGGGGTGGTCCTGCTTTGAGCACGGGGTTGGAATAGTTGACCTCCTGAAACCCCTTCCAACCCTAACTTTCTATGATTCTATAGGTAAGCAAACTGCTCTACCTACATAATTCAGTGATGACATGATGTTTCCTTTTTTAGCGTAAAAAAAACCCAAACTTCAATTAACTTATCCACTTAGATAGAAATTTAGATTTTTGTTCTTTGAACTTTACTCTGAGAATCAGTGGGAGCATCTATGGGTGTCTATAAATGAGCACAGAAGCTGCTCTGACAGTGTATCAGAGCAAACTTGATTAATGGAGTCTGCTGGAGTGTGGTAATTACCACACTCCAGACAGCATCTGCATCTCATGTATCAGGGTTCCTGTGCTTCAAAATGGTGGTAGGGGTGTTTCATCTAAAGCTCGTCAAATGAGCTTTAGATAAAGCACCCCCACTGCCACTTTGAAGCACAGGGATGCTGATACATGAGATGCTCCAGGCACTTTAATTAGAGTGCCATTCATAGGCAGAGGGAGAAAAGAATTTGGGGGGGGGGGCGAGCAAGTGTGCACATGTGCACGCGCAACCCCCAGGCAGGAAAGTCTGTGGGGGGAGGGGAAGGGGGGAAAGGAGAGGGAATGTGGCTGGGGCTGGGGCTGGGGCTGGGGCTGGGGCTGGGACCAGGAGGGAGCTGAGCTGAGCTGGGCCCTGGAATGGGATCCCTTCCCCCAAGCCCAGGGTCACTGCCCTGTGCCAGCGCCTCCCACACCAATGAGTCCACCACCCCCCAGCCCCAACTGCCTTCCTGCACCGGCCCCGGCCCCGGCCCTGGCCCTGGCCCTGCACTGCCCAAGGGGGCCTGGAGCAGGGGGCTGGAGCGGGACCAGCCTCAGCTGTGTCACTGGGCCAGAGGGGCCAGAGCCCCTGGAATCCCCGTGCCTGCCCCACCAGGCCCTGCACAGCTGGGGCAGGACAGGATGTCGGACGGAGCTGCAAATTGTCCATGGGGCATAGGGAGGGGGTGGCAGCTATCACTGCTGCATGCATCCCAGGAGGCATGGGGGGCATGTGCCCCTGATCTACGCAGGGCAGGGCAGGCTGCTGGTGCCGGCTGGGGCCTGGGCAGCACCGGGCTCTTCCTGGCTGCGGAGGCTGTGCTACACTGGGGGCAGGCAGCAGTGGCACTGGGAGGGAGGTTGGGTGAGATATGGAGAATCTCAGGGTGGCTGCAGCTGCCCCCCCAACCATAGACCCCTCCCAGTGCCACCGCCGCTCGCCCCACCAGGAAGAGCCCTGAGCAGCCCCGGCCCCAGCCCCAGCCCAGAATGACAACCCACACTGCTCTGCGCAGTCTGGGGCCACGCACCCCCCATGCCTCCCAGAGTGCATGCAGCAGCAGGAGCCGCGCTCCCAGGACAAGCAGCTCACGGCTCAGTCCTGCACTGTTGGCTGGGCAGTGCCTGCCTCTCTCCCTCCTCATTCCCGCTGCAGCCGCTGGAAGCCCTCAGCTGGGCTGCCTTGCAGCCCTACTGCTGCCCCACATTTGCAGGGGGTGAAGCTCTGTTAGCCGCCCTTCTGTCACCTACGGTGCCGCTCTAATTAAAGTGCTCCCCCCACCCAAAGCACATGTATAGGTGCCCTAAATGTGTGTTTTAATGTGCATTAGCCTATTTTAATCAGAGCTGGATTAATGCATAGGCAAACTGGGCACATGCCTAGGGCCCTAAGTGAAGAAGGTGCCCAGTTGTTTATTTTACATATTATAATTATTGAGTGAAAAAAAGTAAGGGCCCATAAATGTTTGCCTAGGGCCCACTAAAAGGTTAATCTGTCCCTGATTTTAAGGTTCATTAAAGCATCACAAAAACAAGTGTGCTTTTACTAATGCACATTAAAAGAAGCTAATGGACCTGTTTATAATACCTCACAATGGAGGTGCTAAATTTAATGTGCATTAGCAAAAGCACACTAATAAACATGTAGATACGCCCAGCATTTCCAATTCATTTGTGCCACCTCCACCATAACAGATGGAAGTGGAATTCTATTTCATTCTTATCTCATATTATTACTAAAGTCATTATTATTTTGATGTATGATATGATACATAACAGTCATCTACTCCAGACATACTGTTCAAAGCTAGAGAGACAAATAAACCCTAATTCATAAGCACTGAAGTTTTGACTAGATTAAATAGTCTATCCACTCAGAATCAGTAAGGATAGAAGTCATTCTACTAGCAGCTACTTTTTCTAATATTTCTAGTACTTGTATTTTTATAAAAATCATTCAAGACCTATATAGCAAGAACAGAAGTGCTGCAGGTTTGTTTTGTTTTATTTTGTTTTTTGGGGGTGAAGGGTGAGGAGGTAAGATTTGGCAAAGTATGCAGGATCCCACTCATTGTACAAAATTCCTTTCACAACCTAGTCGCGTTGGATAAAGCTGCTTGGCTGTGCAGAGAGTCAAACTGCTACAGTCCTGGGGGAAGCTGGAATGGCTTTTGTGCTTCTATCATTTTTGGAAATTTTATATAATTCAACGATTCAAGGTGAGGTGCAAGAAAGCACTAGTTTGCCCATTTCTTCTCAAGGCAGGGCTGCTCCTGACAGTCTCTCAAACCTATGAATGGCTGCCTCAGAGCCACCTCTTAATAGCATTTCCCCTTGGGACAGGGCAGGCCTGCCTTAAAGCTGTCCCATGCTTCCCTCCCCTCCCCAGTCAGTGCCATGAACAGTTTGGGAGTGTTACTGACTGTCAGAGCTGATTGAAAAAACACTAAAAATATCTACAAACTATATTTAAATGCTGTTTGTATTTAAGGATTGGGGGGATTTTTTTTATGTTGGTATTCAAAGATTGGAACAATAAAAACTATGACAACATTTTCTGTCAAAATCTGAACAACCAACCAAAAAAAATCTAAATTTTGAAAACTTGTGGCCAGTTCTAATTCTGAAGAGGATTGTTTTAACCTTTTGCATTCTTCTCCCGCTCCAGTCTCTGGGTCTTTTTCTTTTCAGCCCTCCACATTGGGACTCCCCCACGAATCAAGCTGCCATGCCTTCCCTTTCTTCTAAGCAAACACAATGTCCTCTGAGAGGCCTGTGCAACCTCATTTTCTTCACAGAGAAATGTTAACACCGCCAATCAAAGACAAAGCCAAACAATGCTATAGATCACAAAATATGTATGGTGTGCACAAAGGTAAGAAGCTCAATCATTGTGTGATGTAATGTTCCACCCAAGACCCAGTCTTTTATCTTTCAGGTTTCTTTGGACGATAAAATTATCAAGGCTGGAATCAGACATTTGCCTATTTAATACTTAGAGCATTTCAAGCAACTCTGCTAGTGTTTCTGTGTCTTAATTAATTAAACACTGATTTGTGTCCTAACATGTTTGGACAGAGGAGCTTTTTTATTTTGTAACATGCTAAAAAGTTTTATTTCAGCTAAACACAAAATAGACTACTATTATAGGTCCCAATCCTTCATTCAAATCAACGGCCATGTGGAGATTCAGTAAAATCAGTATAGTACTCCATGACCTGATCTATAGGGACAGTTCCGATAGACTTCATTTCTATCATAATTCTGCTTGTGTTTCACAACCTATCTTTTGCAAACCAGCAATTTAATTTATAAGGGTGTAACATCTGATGTAAATTGATCTGGAATTAGCCTCAGCCTCATGTAGGACAACAGATTTAAAGTATGCTGAACAAAACCTGCCCTCAAAACAATAAATAATCTCTTTGATTCTACTGCACAAGAAGGTACTCACATTCATGTAATCATACAGCCTTTCTGAAGTAGCTGGTAAAAAGATATCTGAAGGGAAGCAATGCAGATATCTCCGTGCAAAAATGTCAGGTTGGTGATTACTCCAAAATACCTCCAGTTCTCCCTTTTCATGAAGTTGCTTCTTGATGGATTTAAATCGAACTAAAGGGATCCTAAGCAAACAAAATAAACATGCAGAATGTTAACTGGCCTTCCTTTCCCCAGCGCAATTCATCTTTTAAAAAAAACTAAATGAAACAGAACTGGCCTTCATGATAACACACAGAGGTCATTAAGTCAATTGAGCATGAAATGAACTGTGATACTTGAAATGCTTTCTTACCTTTCTAGGGCTATGGTAAATGGAATATAAACCAGAGCCAATAATATCACTTTCATGGTTTCAGTTGGTTTGGAAGCCAGTGGCATTCATCTACTCAGTACTGTCTTTTTATAATTCATTGGGCCACAAAGGGTGTTTACTCAGGTCAATCAATTACACAAGGTTAGTGGTTTGGCAGAATCCCTATTAATGTGTTCTAAGCTTGGTAATTATTGACATCCATCAAAGATATTAAACCACATCTGCCAACGGAACAGCCTCTGCTAAAAGGTGTGTATTAATGGACATTATGTGTGTTAAGGTGAAGAAAAAGAAAGCAAAATACTAGCTTTGAGGATTTTTCTGGATTGGTCAGTAAAAAAGAAAGCTGAAATGCATAGATGACACATATACATAAGGCATTTATTACAAATACATCTGACATAATATACAATAGCATGGTTTTTGATATGGAGATGTTCCAGAAGGATGTAACACATAGGGTTTTGAGTGTGTTGTGACAAGTCATCTGCGAACAACTAAAGATTAATGCCCTATCTAAAACTAAGCCAGTAGATACGCTATTTATGTGAGAGCTGATGTGGAAATCATTAGTCCAAAAAACAGCCTACAACATAGTGCATTAATAGCCAATGGTCTTCTTTTGTCAAGGCTTCTTTAATGAAGGTTTTTCTGTGTCTTTCAACAAGATATTTGTAATCTTCCACTTTTCCTCAGTCTCTTGACTCAACATAAACTAAATAATAAGTTGATCTCAGCACAAAGGTGAATTTAAAATAAAGGAATAATTGACTTTTGAACAGAGACCAAAGATGGAAATTTTATAACAAAGAATTAATGTATAAGAAGAGAGGTTATCATAGGCTTCAATTTTAATAGGCCAGTAAACAAAACTAAAAAGTTACAGTACATAGGAAAATGGCTGAAACATCAATTACACACTATTAAAAGTCTATGGCATGAGCCTAACTTGTATTTAAAATAAATTGCTGTGACTTTTGCCAACCTCATATATCTTATCTTTATGGAAAACCAAAAGAAGTGGAACAGTCACAAGTGTTTGGAACTTACTCCCCACAGTTGATGTAATGGTCACCATGGCCGTGTCCACATGTGGATGTTTGGTCCCCCAGGGACAAGTAGCAGCAGCACACCTTGCGCCACCACTTGTCCTCAGGGAATGCCTGTGCCACACTTGCTTTGACAAGTGGCAAGTTACCCTGGTGGGGTAAGGGAGGCTGGCAATGGGCTGGCCTCAGCAGCCTTATTTGGGGTCCTGGGGGCCTCCAAGGGCTGTAGCAGCAGTGATTCTGCTGCACAGAGCCTGGCTGGCAGCTGCAGCACAGCTCTGGGTGCCCCAGCTCTGCTTTTGAGCAGTGTATGCTACCATGCATGTGCTGCTTGAGTTTTTTTTCCGCTGTTTTTTTTGACCCCTGGATAACCAGGGGTCAAAAAAAAAACACGGGGAAAAAAACCAGCATGGACTTGGGCAGCACTCCCTTGCAGCGCAGAGAACATCTGAATATACAATATATGGCGCCACAGACGTGGTCGCAGCACCACATACTGCATGGCTGTGCTTGTCCGGACGCGGCCCATGAATTTATCTGCACTCAGCTTTTGTACTGGTTTAACTACATGGATTTAGAAGCAGATATAGTTCAGTTGTGGAACTCCTAGTGTGAATGCTGTTAGACTAATATACATTTAAATAAACCTACTAAATAAACCATATTACTGTAACACTGCCACTGCTCTTTGTTAATGCAACTACACAACAGGTTTGAACTAATTTAGCTGTATTAGTTACCGGATCATAAAGACAGCACTCTCCAGTGTGTTCAAAGAATAATTCCCTCGGTATTATTCATACAAACTAGGCCTGTTGAAATGCCTAGTTATTCAACTAGAGTCTTTCATGACTTTAAAGGTATGCTGGGCTGAGCTTTCACCAATCTGTGCAACTGTCTCTCTGGATAGGACTTCTCAAGTACTTTAAGTTAGAAATGAAGACTAATTTTCTCTCTTTCTTCCTCCCTCCTCTCCCCCAAGCACTAGCCTGTGGGAGAAATATCTGATTAGTAACTATGTACATATAGAAATTCTTCCAGAAAACCTTAATTATAGACATGAATTTTGTATTTAGTTTTGAACTCAGTGGGATCAGTAGTATTTTTACCTCATGTAGCAGTGAGTTCTAGTCTCCATCCAGCCCCTTTGAAATTCCACCTCCAACATGCACAAGCCCTAATTCCCAGTTGGACACTCATGGGAGGCCAGAGGGAAATACAGTCTTTCAGGCAGCTAAGTCTAACTGGGAGTCACACATACCAGGAGTGTGACACTTTTCCTCACTGATCTGCCTTTTTCATGGTTTCCTAGAGAACAGCGTCTCCCACGTGCTATCTTGTTCTTCACAGATGGCTGAAGTCACGCAGCCAAACGCTGCCTTCTGAAGCGAGCAGTAACAAAACTATCCTCACTGCTTTTAAAATAAAGCAAAGCAAAGAACACAGATAAAGCCCCATTTTCCTATTTACTAGTACACATAATTTTAAAGGACTCTAGCTTTCCATCAAATTCATTGGAAACATAAACAAGCAAGCATTCATTCCTAACACTAGTGGAACATAAGAAACATGGTAACAGAGAATGTTAACTGTTCTGCTTTAACATGTCATTTTTGTCAGCTAAGGCCACTTGATTATACATGAACAGATAAAAACCTCAACACAACTGCAACTATCACTGTCCTAACCCTGCAATGAAGTCTAAGTTTGTTGACCCCAGTATATGGAAAATCCAAAAAAGTATCAGGGCCAATAAGGCTGAAATCTAAAATATAAAAATGCAACTTTTAGCATATTATGTTAGGTAATTTTGTTGGTCAGTACTTCACACCTTCAGCTCCTCCACTCATCAGTGCTACTTGTATAAATCAAGCCTTTGCATTATATTGCTGAAGCTCCCTTGCTGGTTTTTTGTCAAATCCCCTGATCTCACTGGCTCATTCCAAACAGACTTTAGTTTTGCCAGCAAAACACAAAATGCAGCAACAAAAGGTCATTTTGACTTTTTTTGATAAGCTAGAATAATGATTAAACTATAACCCCAAAAGGTAGTTAAAACCTAAAAGAAAAAATATGATCTACAAATACATAATCTCTTATAGCCATGCAAAGCTGCTCATACAAAAATGTAAATAAATCTTATCTTTCCCCTATAATACATTAATAACTGGACTGCCATACTTCACACAAACTCTATTCATAACCAAACATGTCTTAATATTAACATACTTATACACTTTTACCTAAGTTTATGGACCACACAGATTACTGTGATACCTGAAAATGTTTATTTTGGTAAATACCTACACCATGGATGTATTCTCTATAATCAAACTATCATTAGCTCATAACAATGTTTTAAACTACCAGTTCCAACATATAGTTCTTTGATAGATATGAGTGAAGTAAAACAATTTTTGAAAAACTCAAAAGTGTTGTCATAAAAATTGGAATTTCATAAAACTGAAAAATATATCCTAACAGTCTCTAATGCATACAAAACATTTAAAATAAATTTCTGTAAAATCTAAATCTCTAAATTTTCTATGGTAATCACTGCAAGAGAATGCATGAAATCAAATGGACAAGGCACACTATTTACACAGTTTCTCTGGAGTACTACATGGTACTACATTACCAAAAGTGGAATTGCTACATCAGTAGAAGCTCAAGGGTCTTGGGGTCATGTCATATGCACAATACCTTTATGTTTTCTCATTGTACAGTTAATTAGGGATAGTGCTTTCAACACTGATTTTTCCATGAAGTCCACAGTCACCTGAAATAATATCCTTACCTTCAAGGCCTGATAATTCTGCCCAACCCAGTTTATGAGCCCTAAACCTCAGATCAACCTATATGAGGGGTGGGCAATTATTTCAGGCAGAGGGCCACTTACTGAGTTTTGGCAAGCCATCGAGGGCCGCATGACAGGCAGCTAGGGACAGCTAAATATTAATTTTCTAAATTTTTTAGGGGCCCCGCAAGCTGGATAGAATGGCCTGGCGGGCTGCATCTGGCCCACAGTCCGCATTTTGCCCACCCATGACCTATATCCATTCTGCTCTTGCAGTAATGCCAGGTGCCATTTGTTTGCATGGCACATAAATGTCTGAACACCCCCTTTCATAATGTTATTTGTATATACCCCTCAAGAACTAGACTACCAGGTGGATGCATTCTCATTCAGATTCCTTCTAGAAACCCACTTATTCTAGGACATGAGAACAAGTAACTGCATTGGCTGTCAGATGATTTGGGACTGTCTATACGAAGGCTGCCCAACTTCTAAACAGCTGGGGCCAAACATCCCCTGAGCTGTACCAGCAGGGCTGCACACCCACAAGCTGCTCCAGGGCAAGCCATTGGCCACCCCCGGCCATATGCTATGTGGATGCCACCCACACCCAGCCACCACACTGTGCACCACACCCTCCTCCCACTGCTGCACCCCCTGCCCATGTGGGCCCACCCCCTGCCCTTACTGCTGCACTGTACATACTGCCCCCGCTCCCCACTGCACCATGCATACACCCTTGTTACACCGTGCATATGGCCCCAGGCTCACCCTCAGTTCCTTGGACCATGCTGCACCACACAACCCTGTCCCCTGGAACAGGCTCATACAGTGAAAGTCAGAGAAGGGGAGCCTGGAGGGCAATGGCATAAACAGTGTCCAGGCAGAAGCCAAGAGGTCACAACTTAATGCCTCATGGTTTGCATATAGCCAGTGGGCCACCAGCTGGACAACCCTGGTCTATACACTTAAAGTGATAGAGAAATAGGACTGGAAGTGACCTCCAGAGGTCATGTAGTCCAACTCCATGCCTGAGGCAGGATCATCCCTAACCAAATGATCCTGTACAATCCATAATTGAAACTCTGCATAATACTGTCAACCCTGACACAACACAGACCTAATACCCTAATTTGCCACAGGTAAAGTGGGGGAACCGCAGCAGCCAACATCCTGCTTCTACGAAATGTTGTTAATATATGCTCAAGAGCTGCCAGGT